CTGAGCTGCCCCCCAGTTACCTCAGCTGCTTCCCGTGACACCCCTATAGCACCCACAACGCCTGGCTGTGCCACCTGTCCCTGCTGCCTCCCCACTTCCCTAGGGTGTTTGCACCCTCCATGGGGTTCAGCACCTCACTTAGAGCCTGCATCCCACTGCTGGGCAGGGGGGCATGTCCCAATTAATCCCTGATAAATCCCTGATTAATTGGGGACCAAAACAATGCAGATCATTTAAGCACTGTTAATAGTAGCCCCTAATCCACCAGGGCTGGAATGGGTTAGGACCTTGACATCTAAGCAGTTTTGGTAGAGCTGTTTGCAGCTACTCTTGGTCTGAAACCTGGTGCTCACGTTACCGTTTCCCAGGTCTGGCGCTCGGGGGTAAGCCGCGCGTTAGCCTTTTTCCAGCTGCCGCCAGCAATGCCTGAAGGAAAGTCTGGATCCCGAACATTGATGGTGCAGAACATTCCGAGAGCAAAACCACTAGTCGCCTCAGCCTAGCCCTCGCAATGGAAACAGCCTGGCTTTTAAAAAATATTTCTAGTATGTTTTCATAAACATATTCAATAAGAAGCAAAAACAAAGCCTAACCTCTTAATGTCTTAGTTATTAAATTTTAGCTATTGGCCTACAGCCATTATACTCTGTTAAAGCTATAAGATTCGTTTTATAAAGACATTCTCTGCTTTAATTGCACAGCAATTTCCACTTATGCACTGCTTATCAGCTCCTACTGTGCGGTAGTTTGCCCACGGAGCAGCCCAGCCCGGTGCTGCTCGGCCTGTCCATGCATGTTCCTGCTGGTGCCCAGCCTGCTTTTCCGCTTGGGAAAGCTCAGGATGAGTGACTCTGTCTGTACCGACTGCTGTGCGCTTCCCTGGCGCAGACACGGCTGCGTGTTCCCCAGCGCTGCTGGTGTACGGAGAGCTTCACCTCACCGAGGGCTACGATGCTGGTTGCTGTGCAGCATCACGATCCGCTGCTTTAGAAAAATCCTATGAAACACAAAAAACCTTTCTCTCCCCTTGGTATCGTGGCAAAGTCAAGTTGCTGTTGAGATAGTAAATGCTCAAGGGTGTTGTAACAACTGCGGGTGGACATAAAGCCTCTACTGAAGGGGAAGAGGGAAGTTCAGCCCTGCTCTGCTCTGACTGCCTTGTCTGACTGCTGTGCAACCATCACACACTGCATTTGCCCAGTCATCAACCCAAGACAGAGAAGAGGCCCAAGAAACCGCTCCAGAAGAAAGAAAATGGGATTGTACGGGGTACATCAGGGAGTAAGGGCTACATCAGTAGGGCAAAAGGTGCAACGAAGTAGAAGCTTTGATGAAAATACAGCATTTTTGCACAGGGTGGCTTAAAAGAAAGAGCTCTATCAGCTGCGGGAGATGCCAAAGCAAAGCTTTTGTATTTTGCTAATTCCAGAAGAACTTTTTAAAAATTGATAGTTAGTTAGGAAATGGAAAGACCAAACCCCTAATGATGCTACAATTAACTTATGCAAACAAGGAATATGCCCAGTGATTTGAGAGCTGGAGATCTGTATTTTCCCCTATTTAAATGATTTATGAGAAATAAGACATTTTAAAATGCCTGGAAGTTAAATAACTCTCTCAAAGATATATCTTTAGCAATTTATAAATATATATATAAACAACATACACTGTTCAGATCATGACTTCAAGATTCTTGAAGATTCTTCTTCCACTTTTGCCACTTCATTTTCTGTCAACACAGAGAAGTGCACGTTCCCCCATACAAAATTGCTAAGAGCAAGAAGCCATACAGTTTGACCCAAGAGCCATCTACTTCACCTACAGAAGGTGATGATAAATTTCCATTGACTTTTATGATGAAAAATTGGGCCAGAGCAAGCACTCTCCCATTACTAGCAGTATCAACTGCAACGTAAGTCTTATACTGCAGGCAGAAATTGCTGAGTGATTTGATATCACACAGGCACAACAACTGCTGCATTCAAAACTGTTTCTAAATTCCAAATCCTATTTAGTTTCTAAATAGGTCAAGGTATTTCAAGTACTCTAGAACAGTATTTCTATTTCTATTGAATAAAAGCCTTGCATTTGTGTTATTATATTGTGTTTTACTTAATGAGCAGCTTTCTCTGCTACTTTGTGCTTCATAGGGCAGTTACATGAAATGGTACCTGACTTCACTGTCATAAATATTGAATGAGACTTGATGACTCAGGTCACTGCTTTCAGTCTTTTGGTTTGTATGATGTCTAAATGGGAGTACATACTGAGCAAGAGTATTTTATGCCACTGCATTACAAAAATTGTGATAATTTAGAGATTTAAATGGTAGGAAGATTTGGGCACTGACATCAATGGCAAAAAAAAAGCTCAGACTGTATATAGCGCATTTAATAAAAAATAATTACAACTATATGTAAAAGCAAGCAGTTTATTTAGAAAATTTAGAACTATTCATTTGTATATTCATGGCAGTACCAGAGTCAGGATTCCTAATTACAACTAAGCAAGTTTTAGTATGAATTTCTGTGTAAACATACAAAGGAAACAAATGAATTGATTACAAATAATCGCATTGCACAGAAGATGTGCAAATTTTCCCATGCAGAACAAGTGCAGCTGGTGTGCAATTTTATTATCTTGTTCTGATTTTCACTATTTCCTCCTATACAAAGATTCAAAGCCAAGTTGTTGTCACACTTTCACAAGCAACATGCCCATAGGCAGAAAGGATTGCATGAATCCCACTGAGAAAATCTGTCAGCTTTTCTTTGACCCATAAAACTCTGTTTTAGTAGGTGAGAGGGATTTAATCTTTTATATAATTATTATACAGTAGATAAAACTGCATTTAGTCTGACCATTCAAGTCTTGTTCAATTAGTTTTCTACTTAAAACACAGTATACAAGTAAACTTTTTTTAAAAAAAGATGTTCCGATATAGTCCCTTCAACCTTGTTTTGAGCACAAGTGTAAGACATACACTTGATTTGAGATTACTGAAAGTATTTATGGTACCACTGACTGATAAAATAGGTACTGGATATTGAACTATGAGTAGGAAACTACTCAAAATGCTCAAATTAAAAGTTAAATTTCTCCTAGATAGTGTAAATATTTCTATGATTGTTCCCATTATTCTTTTGGTCTCTAACTGTTGGTGTTATTTTTGACAAGTCCTTCTCATTTTAGGAAGTTTTAGCAAGAAAGATCCCCAAATTTGCAAACATACTCTTATGAGCAATTGTCTTGTACAAGAAAAAAAAAATTCCTGGAGTCTTTAAACAGTCAATCCAAGCAATGCATTATAAACAGAATCCCACATTTATGGAATCCAGACTACTGTTTTAGTGGAAAATGCTGCTATAAAAATATCAAAAATATAAAGGATCATACTGTATTGAAAATATTTACACAATGTATCAAGTTGACTAATAAATAGGAGACCAAGTAAAACTACAGGAACATATCAGCAATTTCAAAATATAAATCTTCATACAACACATAAATACAGAGTTTAAGTTATCACACACCATAATGATCATTCAGATAATCTAAAACTGATGAGGTACTTGATAAAACATTAAAAACTTTCTTCTCTTGTTTTGAAGTTATCCGTTCCATCATGTACATTAAGTGATGGTGAAAACATGTAAAAGGAGTTCCATGCTCAAGAGCAATGCTGACCCAGTCCTGGATGCATTTCAAAGGTGTCTCTTCAAATCCAGCAAACATAGCTGGATTTGCTAAGAGTCCTCTAGCCACCATTACACCTTCAAACAAGAAATTAAAACAGAAAGTTACAATAAAAATTAAACCGAACATTAAATTTTCCTGCCGATTTGGTATAGCACCTATTATGGCAAACATATAAAGTTTGGCGATTAGGAACAGAACGGGTGCACAGCTACATCAGAGAAATCCGCTTAACATTCCAAGCCCCAGAGCACCTGTGGTATCTGTCAGAAAGTTCAACTTCATGATGTATCATTCCAGAAATTCTGAAACAATACACAAGATGCAGTAAAGAAGCCTTTCTCCCCTGCTTTTCAAACAGCAATTCAGTTGTATTTTGTTTTCATGTGCTACAAACAAAGTGACTTTTAATGCCACTCAGCTGATTAACTGAACTAGAATCATTCTTCCCACAGCATTTGTCTCAGTTACAAGAACTGCAGGGCTCTTGGTCTGTGGCAAATCTTTCCTTTCTAGATAAACCAGCATGTTGGCAACTTGAATCCTAAACTGTACGATAAATCCCGCCAAGTTCAACTGTTATTTTTCTGTGCAAAAATGATTCAGTTTGCCTGCAATGTAAACAATCTCACAAGATAAGATGACCAAGCATGCCAAGTTTCTTTAAGTATTGTACATGTCAAAAAGAAATCCAAAGTTCGGGGACTGTACTTCCTACATTTTATGTTTTTCTTAAAACATAAAGATACTTTATACTTTTGTTATTTAAGGTCACCTGAGTTATAAGAACATTCATTTCTATTACATATTTTCTTTTTGATTGTACTCAACAGTATTTCATAATATTTTTAGGCAACAGCTATTTCTGCCTGCTTTGGCTTTGAGGGGGAAGCCACTATGGCAGTTTGGTAGTATCAGTTTCTGTTGTCGTCCCTAAACACCAATAATACTGGCTGTTCTCTGTCCTGTAGGCGAACAGTGCCAGGTCACACAGCAATTCTTTTACACAGCTGGGAATGTAACTCTGATGCATCCTCCTGACACTGATACTGAGATTGGTCCAGCCCTTAGTGAAAGCTGAAGCCACCAGGAACCCCCTCCCGATTCTTCTCATAAGCTCTGTGCGTGCACTGTAGATGGCAGAGGTGGGCATCTGATCCTGGGCTACAAATAAAAGTAGGAGCCATGAGGCATGTGTGGGTGCATGCGGATTACCTCTTTTGATCCGCTAAGGTGAGGGATGCCCTGTAGTCTTGAGCTTTTTTTCAAAAAGGGATGTGTGGAAGGAGGAAAGATTAAGGACATGAGGAAATGTATGAGGACAGACTAAGCGAGCTGGGCCTGATTAGCCTGGAGAAGACAAGGCTGAGAGGGGATCTGATCAACATGTATGAATACGTAACGGGAGAATGTAAAGAGGATGGGACTAAACTCTTCTGGTGGTGGCTGGTGGCAGGACAAGGGATAATGGGTACAAATTAAGACACAGGAAGTTCCACTTCCATGTGAGGAAGAACTTCTTTCCTGTGAGGGTGACAGAGCCCTGGAACAGGCTGCCCAGAGAGGTTGTGGAGTCTCCTTCTCTGGAGATCTTCCAAACCCGCCTGGATGCCACCCTGTGCCACGTGCTCTGGGTGTCCCTGCTTGAGCAGGGGGATTGGACTGGATGATCTCGAGAGGTCCCTTCCAACCTCAACCCTTCTGTGATTCTGTGTGTGTGTGTGTGTGTGATTCTGTTTTCCTCTATCTGTAAGACGCAAACTCTGTATAATTTATCTTTCAAAAAGGCCTGCCCTGAAATCCTGGATATGTACAGGAATCCATTGTGACAGGCACCAAATAACTGTATGGATTCTAAAATTCCCTTCTGCCTTTTTTTTTACAGCTATAGTGTAAGACAGATTGGACACCAATAGATGAGGACAGTGCAATGTCTCACTGTGTCCTTGAAGCTACTCATCTTAGTTATGGTTAAGCATATGGCCTAACCATATTTCCTTTTTCTCTGCCTTCTTACCACAAGAAAATTATAACCATATGCAGGGAAAAAGAGTTTTCCAAGACAAATTTTACAATTTGACAAAAGATGAAGAGGTTTGCAAAAGGAGGGAATGAATGTTTGATGATCCCTCTGAACACCACTACTGAATGAAATGGCATAATTAAGCAAAGGCTTTTGTAATTTGCTCTTGAAATCTTTGTGATTTTGTTTATGATTTTGTCAGGCATCCAAATATCCTCTTTTCTCTCCTCAAAGTGTGAAAAAGTCACTCAAATCATGCCCTACTTCAAGACAAAATACTTAGAAGTTTGATTTCCAAGTTTATATAAAAAGCAGTGTTTAATCTTACCATCTGCTCCTGTCAAGTGATGAACATTTTCAGCATCTTTTAAAGTTTTAATGTCTCCATTAGCCACAACAGGTATGGACATACTTTGTTTAATAATTTTAATTGCATCATAATGTACGGGCTGATGTCTTTCTTCTACATTTCTCCCATGTACTGTAATCCATGAAACTCCACTTGCTTCAGCTTTACGACACAGATCAACTGTTCTTTTCAAATCCTCATGGATCCTAAAATGCCAAGGAATGGAAATATTATTTAGTAACTTACTGAAATTGTTCAAGAAGCCATCAGGTGACAAAGATTATATATATAACTGTTTAACTAAAGAAATGCTGTTGACAGAAGGTAAAGAGACATTTTTATAAAACCCATGATTTTGTGGTATTAAAATCACTATTTAATATTCTTCAATTACATCACATCTCTGAAATACTCAAAAGATTCTAAAATAAATGTTGCATTATTTTGCATAGTGTTGTGAAGGAAAAAAAAATAGAAGCAAGCTCTAGCAATTCTCCTTTTCTGAGGGATCACAAACTGAGTTGAAACATAACTGAACAACATGCAAAAGCCTCACAGGAGTCATTCCAGAAGCCACGTGTTATTCCAGTAGCGGACAGAGTGTTGCATGACACTTACAAAGCAAGGCTGAACAAAGCCTTCCAAAAACTCAGGAGGTGATGACAGGAATCAGATTCTTTTCCTCTCAGCAGCTGTGGGAGGCCAGTTCTCTGTTTTATTGCCTCTCCCTTAATGGACAACAGCAACGGTGGCTCTGGGATCTACCAGCTCACAAAGTAAGCTGTCATGATCATACAGATTATGCAGCTCATTGCTTTTCTTTTACAGAACCGTACTTTTTGAACTCATTTGAGTTGAATGAACATTAATTTCTTTTGGAGTGTAAGCCACTTCTGGCATACTGTGTGATACCTGGGTTAGTTAAAGGCTGTGCTTATTCCACTCTCTCAGATTTTCTTGGACTAGTTGGCATCAAACAAATCTCAAAAATCTTCACATTGAAGGAATTATCAATAACGTATAACATATTAATATTTAAGATATGTAATCATATTAAACTGTAGAGTAACTATTACACTATCTTCTAAAAAAACTAAAGTTGTTTTACTTTAGAAAAAATAGAGGGATTCTTACACATACTGTAAAGAGCAGTAAATTAGACCTACCTTATTTTAATAGATATTGAAAACGTAGGCTTGTCAATCTGATTTCTTACATGTCTCACCATATCTTGAACTAGCTCTGGTTTGTTTATTAATGAAGCACCATAACCTTCTGCCATTGCCCATCTTTAAAAGAAAAATAAAAATGTTTCTAATCTACATTGGAAACAAAAGGAAAAAAAGGAAACCTACCCACCCCAAAAGAGATTAATTTCAGTCAAATACATCACTTCAATTTCTCTCCTTATGCCTTGGTAATATGTGGTTAAGTAAACAGAGCTAGTACTGGCTGTAGTTCAATGATTCTATGATGCATTTGCAGCATTACCTTCAGTCTTTATTTTACAATTAAAACTTTGACTATTAATTATTGGTTATTAATCTCTTCCAGTTCAATCTTCTCTCTACAGAATGGACTCACAAGGAAATCATGAAAATTACCATTTGATTAACACTGATTTAGATCATAGATAAATAGTCTGGCTCTCCAGAAAAGTGTTTTCTCAAATACTGTAATTATAAGTCATGACAACCTAATTAGAACTGACAAATTAAGTATTTGCACCATAATATTATCTTTTGCTTTCCTACATTTATTATCTGATGGTTTCACTTAGAAAAACACTGCTTAACAAGCATAAAATAAATGGTTCTCAATTGAGATAGTGAGAATCTTCATTTGCGTGTTAGTACTCCCTGTCTCACTGTCAAGCCAAAACATCTTCATCAATTTATTGAGTAGATCACTGATTCACTGTATTTATACACCTAGTAAAAAATGAAGAAGTTATTTTCAGCACATCCTGAATAATATCATCCGTATAATTACATTTTAGAGACTATCCTTCACTTGCCAAAGTCTGAGACATCAGGGACTTGCCTCATCATTTGGGGAATTGCTACATGGTTTTCAACATACTTTCTGAATTCCTTGTAATGAAGTTCTTTCTGGAACGTCAAGTATCATGGCACTGGCAACGCATACTTAACAGCTGTTAAGAAGAGATGGGCACTTCATTCCTGAGCCAACACTCAGTATCTCAGAAATCAAAAAAGGCAAGTTGACAATTACACCTAGTTTCCTCAGTCTCACCATGATGACAGGTGTCTCAGGCCATACAGAGAAGTGTTTTACCACAAAGACATTTCTGACTTTCACTTTAAAATGCCATTACTATTTCAAGCTTTATTTTTTAAGCCAGAAAAAAATGACCATAAAAATGAAGAATAGCATCCTTTACTTTCAAATTATTTAATTGTATTTGCACAGCTTTTTAAAAGCCTTTACCTCTGAGGACAGCCGCAGTTCAAGTCTACCCCGTCTGCAAAAGGACAGACAATTTGGGCAGCATCGCATAAAACTTGTGCTTCTTTAGCAGCAAACTGAACAATCAGTGGATGATCTCCTACTCGAAAAAAAAATGCAGATTGTAAAAAAAAAAAAGTGACTGTTCTATTAAGCCTGAATAATCATCATCATTGTTTCCTAAATTCTTTAAAAGATGTTTGTTTCCTAAACTATTATCAAAAGTTATCTAAATCAATAACTTGTTTAAAAACATTATCATTAGTTCACCAGTGTGCAAAAAATAATAATAAAAATCTTCATTTACTTTTTGAATTATTCGATATTTTTAGACCCAGAAGTCCTAAAGATTAAAAACAAGTAAAACCATTACTCTTGCCTCTATCTTCAATATAAATAGTCCATCATTTCGCTTGTATTTTCTTCATAATTCTTCTCTATTAAAGTAAAATCTCAAAGTTTAATTGGCATGCAATTTTCAATTGATTTCAAAGGGGCTCTTTCTGAATTATGGAGGCAGAACCGGATAAGCTTTATTATTCTTTTTTTAACAGTAGCCTTTTGAACTCATCTTGTGGGGGTGACACTCCAGGTAGAAATGCTGCCATACCTGGTGGTGACGCTGCCAAAGCCTTGCCAGGGCCTACTAGGGCTACACTAAAGCCCCAGCACAGACTTCCCCGTCGTTCACCACTGTGTTATGTAACTTCATGAACTGCTCTCTTTGGGTACGGTGGTAGCTATGGGGAATCTTTCTGCTGATTTTTTAGGGATTATTTACTATCTTTTATGCATCAATTTACTCAAATTAAGCTAAACACCACACGCACATTTCCCTTTCCTTGCTGCAGCCCTTTTTCTTCCCCCTTTCTGTGCACTCATGGTTGTTTTTCACCTGCAATGCAATGGGCAGAGCAGCTTTAGCAGTTTTGTGTCAAGTGTCACTGCTCCTCAACTGGGGTCTGCTGAACTATTTCTGATTTACTAAGCCCTTGCAGAGAGACATATGGAAAATGCTCTCCTCTTTTACAGCTGCTGCACTACATTAATGGTATCTAAAAATATCTCAGTCTTAGCACTCACCTTCCATATAAACAATTAAAAACAGTCTCTCCCCTCATCTACCCAGCCAGTCATTCCTTCGTAGAAGGTTATCAGATTGGGTAAGCCTGACACCTTAACTAATTGCTTGGTGGATCCATGCTTAAAACTTCTGGTCACCTTCTTCCCCTTCCCATGATTAGGGATGACATCCATGATGAGTTGTTCCACCACTTCCAGGGACTGAGGTGAGGACTCTTTCTCTTTCCCTTTTTGAAGACTGGAGTGACATTTTCTTTCTTGCACTTCTCAGGCAGAGGTCCCCATATATTGTCAATTACGATCTTAATTATTCATTGTTTACACACTAAGAATATTCATGCTTATTTCAAGTTGAATTCTTCTACTAATAAGAGTCTAACTGTGCAACCAACATGTCGTTTCTCTGTACTTAGACTGTCCTAGTTGAGTGATACCCCATAGCAAGTGGTCAGTGCTAAAATTATTAAGTTTACTTCCACTGCTATTGCATAAATGCTATTTGCATAAATGCAAACACAATTCAGCAGCATGAACAGTCCTTACCAAACCCTAATTCCACTGTATCAAATCTCTCATCCATCTATTTTCCCTCTTTTACATTCTATTTATTTCTGTTAGAGACTGAGTTAAGAGTTCACTGCTGATGCAGACAAGAAACAGTAATTGCTAGGAGAGGAATCTTACTGCCACCTAAATCAGGTTGGAGGGCCTGATTTTCAGGTGGTTTTCCAGTATTTCATATGACACCCTATTACTGAGATATACCACTCTTACCTATAGCATTTCTACGGTTTTGCAATCAATCAGATGCAATATCCCCAAATTACTACAGTTGTCAAGTTGCATAATAGCCTTCGTTTACCTGGACAATTCAGTTAATCATTGCATAAAACATTCTGAAAATTCAATTACTTTTTAATAGAAAAATACCGTTATTTGTTGTGAATTCGCTGTCTCTGGCTTTTGCAGACCTCACAAAGTCGGCTGCCACGATCATCGGGGTGTAACACAGATCGCACTGGTACTTCCTAACCAAGGTCCTGAAAGCCAACCTGCGGGCACATGAGGATTAAAGATAAATATTAAAGATATCTTCTAATCAGCTACTCCAAGATGCTCTTTTGACATGAAATACCACGGGGATGTTTAGGTATAATCATAAGATAAAGATGTCCTGCATTGATCTTCCTTTATCATCGGGGTGTAACACAGATCGCACTGGTACTTCCTAACCAAGGTCCTGAAAGCCAACCTGCGGGCACATGAGGATTAAAGATAAATATTAAAGATATCTTCTAATCAGCTACTCCAAGATGCTCTTTTGACATGAAATACCACGGGGATGTTTAGGTATAATCATAAGATAAAGATGTCCTGCATTGATCTTCCTTTTAAATAATCACAGAGTAAAAAAAAAAAAGTAACCATCTCAATAAAAACTTCCTCTTAGGAATCCACTGAAACACAGCGCTGACATGACCGTGACTTACTTTGAATAACGGACCATAGGGGCGCATATCTTCACAATCTGCCGGGAATGAAACAAATCCACGGGATCTTTTACTGGGCATCGTTCGGTTTCGGCGCCGTCACCGATCATGTGGAATGAGCGACCGCCCTCGCATCTGGAAAAGGCCAAAAA